AAAAATGTACGCTAAAATAATATATAGAAATTGTATTTAAGTTATTATTGATTTGAATCTTTATATAATTATATACACCTGAAGATAGTTCTTTTAGGAACTGAAACATGTCGTGAAAAATGATGGTCTAATGTAAATCGAATATTTCGATAAAGAACATCATTTAATATTTTAAATGTTAATTAATGTAATATTTTAATATTTAATAAGAATTTGTTGTGATTAGACGGACAAGATTTAAACAATATATATTTATTATATCACAATATGACGCAACTTTACCATCTCACGACATTAATAAGATAAATTTTCTGATACCAGGTAAGTATTTCCCATCCAAAGTGACAGTATATACAAATGCATGCGAGCCGCTCAGAATACATCAGAAGGTGGAATGCGACTAGCGGGCTGATGGTTGTAAACCCCTGTTCTAGGAGATGTATAAAGATGAGAAATGCCAAGCCATCGAAGGTTGACCTGAAGCACGGCTTCCTTCCCTTTGTAAATTTTACCGCGTATCTTCCATTTTACGACGTGACCCAGTTCACTGGCAAGGCCAAGCGTTCGTTACCTTCTTCAGCGACCTCGGGGATTTCAGACGCGATCTAATTAACTTTAATTACTTCTCCGTCCGCAAACCACGATTACGATGAAATATGAAGCAGTGGCGTAACGCTGGTTGATAGATAATTAGTACAAGCACTGAACTGCTAAGCAACGGACAGCTATTAGACTTCGTGCTCCCATCATATTCCTAAAGTTCCACGATACGAGGTATTCGGTTTCAGTCTCGGAGATTTTACCGACTAGTTAAGCTGATATTTTGTGGTTTTCCTCAGTCGCTGCACCTTCTGCCCATTAGTTCCCTTGTTTGTTTCATTCGGGTGCGGAAGTTGGAAAGAGGGGAGCGTAGATACAAGAGGAGTCACACAGATATCGGATCGAAAACAAACAATAATCACTCTGCAACAATTTAGAATAACTCCATGGAGGAAGGAAGATCTCCTTCTTGATAAGCTTATAGTCACTCAGCTGGTTAAAACTTCTCCGCCTTATATGGAATCAAAGATTTACTACCATGCTTAAGACAAATCATCATCCCGAGCTACATGAATCCTATAATTACCTTCAAATCCTATTTAAGATAAACCTTAGAACTAAAGGTTCAGTGTAAGGTAATTGTTAAAAGCATTTTAGACAGAAATCTATAACAAATTCCAAAATACATCATCGTGTGACTACTTTCAATTGGCGACGAAAACGTCACGTGATACGAAGCATCATTAGAACCGCACTGTATATAGGATTTAGTACTTTTAATTGATAAAAGCTTGAAAACTGCGATTATTGGCCCGAAGGCTTCAAACATCCCACACATCAACAAACACGAACTCATCATGTTTTTATGAAGTCGAACGTGGGATGTTATTGAGCCAGGAACTTGACAGCGATACACGTCACGCGGGCGCCAGCTTCAATTATAGGGCTCGATGGAAGATCAGGTCTTAAAACGTAAACGTACTAAAAGCAAGCCTGTTGCAATGCGAATCCGAGATGGAAGGTCGATGTGACATGCAGTGCCAACACCGACCGACCAACTATCCTCATTTTCATACAACTTCCCGATGTTCATTAAAAACAAATCCTATTACAAAGCACCAATTTCCAGATTATTAACTACGTTAATTAGAAAAACAAACAAGCATCAGCCACACAATGTCACGTTCTGGGGCGAGGAACAAAGAGTCAATAATCTCTGTTAATCTCTTTCACCTTCCAGACGTTTTATTTCCCTCCGGTGCACCCGCCATTGTGTGCAAATGGCACATAATCCACGTACCGCATCCATCCCATAGACAAAGCAACAAATCTCCGAACCGTCTTTGTGATTCTTTTAATAATGCAACATTTTACTGACGCCGTCGAAAGGATTACCGCCTTTCCGAGGTGTACAGAACCGCGTGCCTCGCTAAACGAGGCAGAGGCAGCTTTCTTTCACGTAGGCCTAGCTGATCTCACTTTCAAACTCAGGACTTAGAAGGAATTAACTCTCTGATAAGAGATAAATACTATCTACCCAGCAGTCAAGGGCGAACTGACGTCACACACCCAGATAAACCGGTTCTATATCTATGACTTTGCTAGTGTAAATAGTACTAACAACTCTATTATATATATATATATATATATATATAGGGTGATTCAAAAGGTTAGGGCCAAACTGAAGGAGCGTATAGAGAGCCTCAGAGAGAACAACTTTCGAATAGGAATCCATGTCCTCCGAAGTTATCCTAAGTCAGTCGAGGCCATTGAAGGTAGGGAAGTCTGATAACATACCGCTGAAATAA